GGAGACCCTGCATGTCTTGATTGTGGTGATAGGTCTGCGGCCACTCATTTGTCAGAACTCATAGAATATACACTTAAAAGGGGGGTTTTACTGTATGTACGTTATACCTTAAAAGATTAAAAATGTTTAAAATAAAAGGAAAAAAAGATATATTGTTGGAAAATAGCACTAAGAAGCATTATAATGTCCACTTCATTCAGACAAAAAGTTGAGATCAGTAAACTAATTTACATTTGCTGAACGTCAGAAGGGCGCGCCTTCCGTGACTAATTTATGAGACCTTGTGGAATTGTTAAAGAACAAAATTTAAAAATATGAGCAAGTATCTCCCTGTATCCATCCATCCATCTCTCCATCCATCCATCTGCCCACACAGGCTGAGATGATCCAATCTGCCCCAATCACTGGGAAGAACCATTTGTAAGAAGGACCAGCTGCTCTCATCCTGGAAGGGGTCTGTGCCACCCAAAGTGGAGGGTCACCCGACATAGGAGACACAGGCTTGCGAAGTCAGACACATGCATTTTGAATGGCCCGTGCTCTCCCTGATACACCCACCCTCTGCCTGGATCTACCTCTTTCTATTCAGTCAGCAGATCCTGAATCTTCTCGCTGTCCCCTGCCTTTGTCACGGGTCACACTCGGACACTGTCCAACAGCTTTCACGTCTGTTCCTGTTCACCTGAGTGTACTATCTTGGTGCCAAACTGTGGAGGAGGCCTGGCAAATTCTACAATACGGGCCACTTCCAGAAGCTCTGCCTTCTTCCATTCCTGCTGGAACAATGGCTGGTGGACAGGCTGCTGGAGAGAGCTGAGTCACTCTTTTGGGTAGAACCGCCCAGAGTGAAATGCTCAGGGCTGGCTGCTGAAGGCATCTCTGGTATTTCCAACAAGCGTGAAAGCAGGGAAGAAATGCGGCCTGGAGGGCAAGTGGCCCCCAAGCCTGGCAACAAAGCTGGAAAATGCTGATTCTCCCGTGCCACCCCTGAGATTCTAACACCGTGGGCCTGGGGTCCGGGAGTCTCCCTAGGTAACCCCAATGCCTGGAGGGATCTCTGAGCCACAGTTGTTGAGGACCTTGAAGGAGCTGGAGTTGCCCCCAAGATGACGGAATCAGATGTGCTAAGTGGGGGATGCAGACAGAGCCACACTTGAGGAGGAGGGACGCTGCTGGCCCAGGCTTATGGCGTGGCCAGAGGACCAGCTCAAGGACAAGTGCACACCCAGGTGACAGGTGACAGTGCCCCGAGCTGGACCGGGACTGCCACTGGAGCAGGAGGCAACCCCCGGGGACTGGGCGTCGCATGTAGACAACCTGGCCAATGGTGACTGATTTAAAGTAAAGGGATTCATTGTCAAGTACACTATTTGCTGTTCCTACTGGACTGATTCTGATGGCTCAGGCCTTGGGATGTAAGTATGTATATCAGGGCGAATCTTTTAATCAGTGACCTTTGGACTGATGTGGCAACTGTCATACTCTGTGAGCAGGAGGTGGCAGCAATATGCCTCTCAGCTCATTTGGTTTTTCCAAAAAAAAAAAAGCAAAACCAAATGAATGTTTCACCATGAGGCTTCCTACCCGTCCCCCGTGACCGGCTTCCGGTTCTCGGGGCTCAGTTTGGAGGTCTCTGCACTGTCGTTTTGTCCCTGTGAACGAGGCGGGATTCCTTCTGCAACTGCTGAGAAAAAACATCAGCTGTGTGTCTTTTGAAGTCCTAAACTGTGCATGCCACCAAAGACAATGATTTAAAGACGCAAGGCCCGTAATTAGCCTTGGAAGTGATACAAACCTACCAACACAGCAGCATAAATGAGGCTGCCGCGCAACATCTGTTTTCTCTGATACACTCAATTAAAAATAAACTGCAATAAAGAGCTGGGCGAGAGGTACAGGCAGTTGACGAGTTAAGCCAAATGTCCCAAGGCTTTAACTGAACGTGTTTGAGGATGAATGATGCTGCCCATTCATGACAGAGTCATAAAGTAGAATTCGGTAAGAATGTTGATGGCTCTGGCTGGGTGGGTCAGTGGTTAGAGTGCTGTCCTGATGCACCAAGGTTGTGGGTTTGATCCCTGGTCAGGGCACGTACAAGAATCGACCAGTGACTGTATCAATAAGTGGAACAACAAGGCGATGTCTCTTTTTCAATAAAAAAATCAGTGAATGAAAAGATTTTAAAAGAGATTATCAAAAACCATCACATTTACCCTGGAAGTGATATCTGGAAGTTCTTGCCATTTTCAGTAGGTGGTAGACTGTCGAACGTCCCAGGAGTAGCTGCTTCTCCCATTCAGTTGCTCAGGACTAAGCCTGCGGTGGCGGCTACCCGGTCACTGGCTGACTCCCGTGACAGAGGTATACATTCCAGAACCATTTCCTGCTGGATTGCAGAACTACTCTAAGCTGACGTGTTCCAAAGGTAGCTCACGCCCCCGGCATTCTGAAACCCAGAGCCAGCAAACTGTCCTCACCTCCAGGGTTGGTGAAGTCCCTTCTTTCCTTCGCAACGTCAAGGGCCACAGATGCTCCTGGTCCGGCTGAAGACAAAGCACTTTTTATTCATCTCTCTGAATGGTGCAAAACTGGTCAAACCAACGGTGGAGAGCTCGTTCTCACCTGGCATTCTTATCATAGTCCCGGAGAGCTGGAAGTCTGCCTCCAAGTTCAGGGCAGGTGCGGGGGGAGGGGAAATGAGACAATCGCCCCCTTGTGGGGACTTTGGTCACTGCTTCTGTCCCAGAATCAAACACACTGGTAGTTACTGCACTTGAGGGACGAATGAGGTTCTCTCTCACCCAGGGGCTTGGCGGGGGTCTGGACACAGAACTGAGTCGAGGTCGTCATTTGAGCGTCATGCTGCATCGGACCCCACCCTGGTGTTAGCCAAACACTGTGTGTCCTGTTTATGTGGAGGCGTTGATGGTGCTTCGATCCTGGCAGGGCTTGCCGTCTCAAACCTGTTTATCTGCTCGTTTATTCCTTTAAAAAGTTCAATGGCAGTGAAGTCCATAGTATGTATTTGCTGTCTTGACCGGTTTTTGGGGTGCAGTTCAGTCGTGTTAGGTGTCCTCACCCTGTTGTGCAGCGGTCACTATGATCCATCCCCAGAGCTCTTTTCATCTCCCCAGACGGAACTTCTGCCCCCACTGGACACTGACACCCCTCTCCCTGCTCCCTTGGCCCCCTCGGGCCCCCGCTGTTGTGTTTTCTGTCCCTATGAATTTGACTACTCTGGACCCTTCCTGTTTGTGGGCGCACACAGTGTTTGTCTCTCTGTGCCTGGCTTGTTTCACTGAATGTAATGCCCTCCAGGTTCATCCGTGTTGTGGCAGGAGTCGGGACTTCCTCCCTGTTCAGGGCAGGGTACTATTCCATTGCATGGATGGACCACATTTATTTACCTGTTCACCCGTCCTCCCACACTGGGGTTGCACCCACCTTTTGGCTACTGTGAGTAGAGCTGTTGTGAACCTGGGTGTGCAGATACCTCTCCAAGGCCCTGCTTTCAATCCTTGGGGCACACACCCAAATCGTTGGATCAGAGGGTAGTTCTATTTTTAATTTTTGAAGAACTGCCCTAACCATTTTCCACGGGGGCTGCACCATTTTACATTTCCACACACTGGGCACAGGGTTCCAATTTCTCCATATCCTCATTAGGAGAAAAAAAGATATTTTTAAGCACCATCACTCATATATAACAAAGAGAACTTTAAGTCATTTTATTGTTTTGCCAAACATCTTTAAGAAACTATTACAAAAGTTCAAATAGTTATAAGGAGAGCAAATAAGAAACCAGAGAATTGAAGTCTCACTGTGTAAATTGAATTATTTTTGTCCTGCAAAGATTATAATGCCCTTCCTCCTAAGAAATTGATTTCACGTGTTCACCTTACACAGGGCTTCTGGGCTTGGGATGTTTTCACAAGAGAACAGCATTATAAGCATCTGAATGGAATGAACTAGATGGGAGAGAATCTTTTACAATGTTGCTGCATATCCAATCACCATGCTGTACCCTTTGGTACCTTACAATTTTATTTGTCAATTATATCTCAGCTAAGCTGAAAATAATTTGAATCTAGGACCTAGCATTAAGTTTAAAATATGGGGAGAAAAATGCACAGCAAGAAGCAAATGCTGAGCTAAGAAGAAAAATATGACTCATTATAAAGATGGGGACTGGTTAATTCTAAGGGCTTAGAGGCATTTTCCATCCTGCTCCAAGGTGGGGAAAGTCTCTTCAGTTGGAAAAAGAGAAATCCTCTCAGTGTAGAGAGTGTTGTAAAAAAAAAGTACAAATTTGAGTACACATTTTCATTATCCAATTTTTGTTTTTTTCTCAGCCAATCATTTTAAAAAACATAAAAAAGTAGTTTTAGGAAAAAGGGTAATGAATTGAAATATTGATAAGCAACAATGGCCTGGAACCAGGGAGGGTCTCCTACCTGTCCAAGGACATAATGAAGGCGGAGTACAAAAATGTAAACATATATACCAAGGGAAAATAGGTTACGCGTTATTTTCTAGTCTAATTTAGAGTTTCCCATTTTCTACTCAGTTTTTTGGTACAATATTAAGGTCTTTTGCACTGAATTTAAAACAAATTACAAGTGTTGTAATGGCTTTACATTTTATGGAAAATTCATTTGTCTAAAAAGGATATAAAATTAGTATTTTATGGTTAAAATAGTCATATAAGAAAATACCATGGGCATGTAAAATTCGACATAAAATTTCCCAGCTTGGACGGTCAGCTGAAACACTAACTAGTTTGCACTCAGACAGAAAGAAGTTTTGTCCAAAAATCACTGCTCATTCATTGTGGGCTGCTTTTGCCGATGTCTAGCGATCAAATTCATGGGTTTGAGGTTTTAACCTCTAATTCAAGGTGTGGGCCTTTCACAAAATACCTGCAATGTTTTTGTGTGTGTGTCTGTGTGTGTGTGGGGGGGGGGGGAATATCAAGTCAAGAACAGGCAAACAATTCCAGGCACTCCCTCAAGCTTTGGAAAACCTGTGCCTATCCAGGGCCATGAACTTCATTGTTTCAAAGGCACTGAACGTTTCTAACGTGCGTTGAACAGGCCAGGCGGTGACGGGCCCGTCTGACCCCCTCACTCGGACAGCATGTTGAGGATCATCTCGCAGGTCATGTCCCCATCCAGGTCCTCGATGCCGGTGGTGGTGGCGGCGGCAGCAGCCTCTCCGTAGGCTGCAGGAGCTGCCTCTCCAGGGCACTGGTCTCCCATGGCCATGGGGGCTCCCTCGGCAGCGGCTTCTGGTGGGGAAGAGGCACAGGGTTGGCAAATTTAAAATAGAGCTGAGAATCAGAGCCAGTAGGTTTTGGAAACCAGCGCTGATGTTAACCCAGCAGCACGTGTGTGCGGAGACGAGCTTCCCTCAGGTGGGTCAGGACAGTCCAATCTCAGCTGCGCTTTCTGCCCCAGCTCATCCGCCTCAGCTCTGCCAGACTCCTGGGGCTGGACTGGTCTCTGTTGTGCAGCTTTCTTTCTTTCAAAAGCACTGCACGAGGTACCCAGAGGGGGCCTTCAGGTGCCCCACGGGCGGGGAAGTCATGCACTTACAGAGACGTGTTCAGATCTGTCCCCCTTGGAGTTTGGGGGCCAGGGACCTGGTTTGAGGCTTGGAGCTGGGTTTTGCCTGGCGTGCTCTCCCATTGAAGTGAATGTACCTGTGGTGGGTTGGATTGTTGGCCCCCAAAAAGCCGTGCCCACATCCGAAAGCCCCAACCCTGCAAGCGTGACCTTATTTGCAATGAGAGTCTTTGAAAATATAATTAAGGGTCTCAAGATGAGATCCCCTGAATGTTCCAGGCAGACCCTAAATTCCGTGACAGGTGTCTTTACAAGAGGCAGGAGACGTGAAGACACAGGAGGAGAGGCCGTGCGAAGATGGGGACTGCGATGCCGTGATGCGGCCACAAGCCACGGACCGCCCGGGGCCACCGGAGCTGGAAGAAGGCTCCACCCCTGCAGCCCCCGAGGGAGCGAGGCCCTGCTCATGCCCCGGACGTCTGGCCTGCAGACTGGGAGGGAACACAAGGCCTTGTTCTTGGTCCCCCAGTTTGTGGCTGTCGGCTGCGGTGCGTCCAGGACATGAGCACGGCGCCCAGCAGCCCACCAGCTCGGCGGAGGGGGCTTTGGGGGCAGGAGAGCAGCGGGCATGTGCATCTGTCCTTCGGCCTCGTGAAAATGTCCCCCCAGGAACCCACGTGGTGGGGGATCCACCCCGGGGCCTCCCCAGTCACTTTCCCGCTGTGGCCTCACTGCGGTCCCGAGAGGTGGGTACATCACCAGGCCGATGTCACCCATAACCACATGGGGCCAAAGGAAGTCCAAGACCCACCCAAAGGGGCAGGAAGCCGTGACACTGCCAGGCCCAGGACGAGGCGCCCTTCAGGGTCTGGCAGTCGGGGTTTCTGGGTGTGTTCCCTGCACTTCAACACTCAGCACCCAGGGACGCACACAAGAGAAAATCACGGTCAAGTTCGAACCCAATTCGTTTAAAAGGAGGTACCGTCTTCCTTCGCTGCCTCTTGCAGGACGGCCAGCTTCCTCGTTCTCATTCTTCTTCCCATCCCTGAGGGGGCCGCTTTGCCTTGCTCTGCCTCACACTTCTCGGAGTGTCTCCGCATGTTGGTCTGTTGGGGGAACGACACAGGGGCCTGGATGAGAGTCGGCACCACTGAAGGAGCATCATCTAAATGCACGTGGTCAAAGACGCACTGTGGAAAACGAGTGAAATGTGCCTCCTGCAATGTTGCACAAGGCAAGACAGCCTTTCAGAGGCGACCCTTCCTCTCGTGGTTAGGTCTCGAAGCCAGCTGGCTCACCTCAGATGTGTCTTTCTCAGAGAAGTCGATGGGAAGACAAGATTTACTTGTCTGGAATGACTCTACTCTGAGGTTTGATGTTACACCGGAAATTCAAGCTATCGGTCAATTTTATGAAAATCAATGAAATACTACAGAGACACGGCTGCCCCGCGAGCTTCTGTCCTGACCTGCTACAGAGTCACAAAAATTGCGTGCAACATTCAGACGGAAATGGGAAGCCACGGATTTCCCAGTCAAACCTATCAGCAATGTCTTACATACAACGCTTAGGATCTGAAATAAGTTAGAACACTCTCACTCGCTGTAGAGTCTGTCTGCTAACAGAGGGCACTAGTCATTAGATTTGCTGATTCTGAACAATCTCCCGCCTAACTTCCATTTCAACTTTGGTATAGGCCCTGCAGGCTCGTGGGTGGAAGGAAGGAGGATTTGCACAGAAGGGGGAATGCTGTGGGTTTTTGAAACTCCACTTGATGATTACGCACAGGACTGGCACGCTGGGGCAGAGGGTCGAGTGCAGCCTGCCCACGGCTTCTGTAAGGCAGGTGTTCTGCACAAGCCACGTCCCTGCGGTCATGAAGCGTCCATCTACGGCTGCGTTTGCACCATAACCTCAGAGGCAAGTAGTCAGGACAGAAACGGTCCGTCTGGTCTGAGAAGCTGGAAGTATTTCCCTGTCTGGCCATTCACAAAGTAACCCCGCCACCCCCGGCTTGTGTGATGACGATGGACAAATGAAGCCTCTTGGGGTCAAGGATTCCTTTGAGGATGTAAGAGCCACAGCTCCTTCCCCAGAGAGGTGCCAACCTATTCACATACCCACACTCTACAACTTCGTCAAGTTCAGGGCTTAGAAGGACTGATGTCAGTTTTGCAAGAACAAATGAATCAAACGGAAACATACCCAGCCTCTAAAATACAAGTGGAGTGAACCTACAGGATTTCTAGGGCTGACGGGGACGAACAGGACAAACGTGTGTGTCACAGAAATGCTGCTCGGGCGCCGAGGACCCCCGTTCCCGACCTAGAGCGGGGTCCTCACCGGGAGGGAGGGGCCTGGTTCGACGTACAGCGACCGAGACGATCACCTGTTACAGACCCAAGTTTCTGCCGTTTTACTTTTAAATAATCAAATGGGATTCAAGTACCCAGATGTGCTTTCAGTTGTTTATTTTTAAAGACTTTAATTCTGAGAGCAGTTTCAGGTTTATAGCGAAACTGAGAGGGAAGCAGAGACCCTCATGCACCCCCACCCCACGTTTGCACGCCCTCCCCCACCGGCATTGCCCCTGCCTTTGTCACAACCGACGGACCTACGTGGACACGCCCCCTCTCCATGTCTGTGGTCCACACTAACGTTCACTCCTGGTGTTGTGCATTCTGGGTCTGGACAGACGTATGATGACAAGTGTCCACCGTCATACAGTGTCCCACAGAGCAGTGTCCCTGCCCTGTCCTCTGTGCCCCGCCTGTCCCTCCGTCCTGCTCTGCAGGCCCTGGCAGCCTCTGGTCTTGCCCTGTCCTCACAGCCTTCTCTCTTCCAGAGTGTCATGCCGTTAGGGTCACACAGCATCTGACACTGCAGACTGCTTCCCTCGCTCAGTAATGCGCATTTAAGGCTCCTCCAGTCTCTTTGTGGCCTGACAGCTCATTTCTTTTCAGTGCCGGATAACGTGCATTGCCTGGGTGCTCCACACTTACTCGTCCCTCCCCTGCTGCAGGGCACCTCTCTGGCCCCCAAGTTCTGGCAGTTAGGAACAGAACTGGTGTAAATATCCACCTGCAGGTTTTCCTGTGGACATACGCCTCCAGCAACTCTGGGCAAATACCAGGGAACACGACGGCTGGATCGACGGTAAGAGGAGGTTTAGTTTCCTAAGAAACTGCCAAAGTGGGCCCACCCGCTTGCAGGGAGTTCCGGGTGAGTTCCGGGTGCTCCCCATCCGCATCGGCATGTGCGGTCAGCGTTCCGGATTTGGGCTCTTTGGATCATGTGTAGCGACACCTCCTTGCTTTGCTTTTCACTCCCCCTGACGACACAGGGGGTCAGCATCTTCTCACACCCCTTGTGCTGTCCCTGTATCTTCTTTGGTGAGGGGTCTGTTAAAATCTTTGGCCTCTTTTTTAATCAGGTTGTTTTCTTGCTGTTCACTTTCAAAAGTCCCTCGTACACTTCAGATAACAACAGTCTTTTATCGGAGGCGACCACTGGCATGTCAAGGGGACCGCTTTGAAAAGTATATGATCATCTAACCGCTCTGCTACTACACACCTGAAACCAATACAAACTAAAATGAATGTAAACTGTGACTGGAAAAAATGTTTTAAATTTTAAAAAAAAGGAATGATAAGAAAAGCAGCCCTGGGAGCCCGCACACTGGGTGCAGAGGTCTAAAGCCAACACCCAGCAATCGGTCACTGTCGACGTGACAGGAGTGTGACGGACATGATGTTAGTGTGGCAGGTATGAGCTTTTGTAGCTGGAGCACCTGCCCACACATGCTTATTAAGTATCTGGCACTTGGAAAAAGAATAGAGAACTGCTCAATCGTATGGTAACTTTACGCTCGACATTTTGAGAAACTGCCAGACTGTCCTCCAAGAAGGCTTCTCCGTTTTGGAGCCCCAACAGCGATACCTGGGAGTGCGGGTCCTTCCTCCCCTCCCTCCGTCCCCCTTCTCTGCCTGTAACTCCCCCAGAGGCTGGTGCAGGGCGGTCTTTATGGGGATTGGAATCTGTGTCTTCCTGGTAACTAGCAATGCCAAGCAACTCTCTCGAGCTTTTTGGCCATTCATCTATCTTCTTCGGAGAAGTGTCTAGTTAGATCATTTTCCTCTTTATAACTGGGTGTTTGTCTTTTTACTGTTGAAGTGTCGGAATCCTTTCTATATAGTTCAGATGTAAATCCAAATGTGCTTTCTGCAACGAAAAGGAAAAGCTTCGAGACTTCTGATTGCGCTGCTGCGGACTCTGCAGCCGCTTCCTCCTCTCCTCTGCTTTCTCGTTTCTCACGCCAGAGGGCAGCTCCGCTCCACTTTAGCTCGGCCTGAACGCGCCTGTTCTTGCCTTCATTTGACACATTTTGAACTAATTGCACAAACGCTCCAGAATTACCCTGCTATGCTGCCCTCTCCGAAAAAACGCAACTACCCTACCTTTTCAGAGAAAAAAACCAAAGCTCTCCCCCATAACAACAGTCAGCTTCAGATAACTCAAAGCTTTTACAAGGTGAGACCGGGGCACCCACCGGCTAAGGGCCTGGCCAGTCATTTGTGCTGGTTTTTAAATTTATTGATTTGAGAGAGAGAGAGAGACATTGATTTGTTGTCCTGCTTAGTGACGCGGTCACTGGTTGTGTCCTGTATGTGCCCTGACGGGAGATTGAACCCGCAGCCGTGGCACGTCGGGGACAACACTCTAGCCCACCCAGCCAGGGCAAGACCGGGGTGGGTTTCAGTGTCCACAGATTCCAGCCAGACCCACCCAGCCAGGCGAGACCCACAGAAATGGGAAGCTAATACATGTCTGGTGTTTTCAGCCACTCGGGTTCGAAGCCAGTCGGCGTGCAGCGGCGGCAAACTAACACGGCCCCTGGAAAGAACCCGGGAGGAGGGCGAATGCCTTTCTCAGCACACCACCGACGGCCCTAGACCAAGAACATCGACGCGACACTTCGAAAGTTGCCTTCTGTCTACGAAGTAGCCTAAGTCTAATTCACGGGAACAATCTTTAAATGCGGTACTAAAACCAGGGATTCTTTGTCGACTTGGGGGAGCCTGAGAACTCCCTAAAACTACGTGAGAGGTTTTGTTTGCAGGAACTGTGCTTTTTTTTTCTGCAGAAAGGGAGACCACACTTGTAGAAGATTTTTGAGTTTTGTGACTGATAACCACTCTCCGAGGGCCTGACCAATTCCTACAATCGAGTTGAAAGCCCCCCCCCCCAAGGTGGGACCCTGCCTGGGAGACAGAGGCATCTTTTGGGGCGACCGACGGCGACACGGGGGCGCTCACCCAGCGGGAAAAGCCCTTGCCACACTTGGAGCACGTGTGCACGGCCGGGACGAACTCCGCGTCGTGGTGTTTCTGGACATGCACAGTCAGAAGCTGCTTCTGTCGGAAACGCTGGTTGCAGGAGACGCAGGCGAAGGGCTTCTCGCCGGTGTGCGTGCGGATGTGAACCGTCAGGTGGCGCTCCTGCGGGGGGAGGGGGGTAAACCAACAGCTCAGCTCATCACAGGGCGGATTTGGTGTCAGGCATTGTTCATGAGATTCCTTTTTTTTTTTCCTTCCCCAAAGATGCGCGTGCCATGAAGAAAAATCACAGCGAAGACGTCCCCCAACACAGCGCGCTGTTACGGTGGGAATGCAGCCTGGTGGTCTACAGAACCAAGTCACAGCCGGTTCCTGACACGCAGCTACAAAGTTCTCACGTCTCGTTCCCAGCTGGGCCCATGGGCCAGGGGAGGATGGACCGGAACACACTGGGGCAGGAAAATGATCATCATTCTCCCGCCAAAACGCTCATGTATTTGCAGTCCATGTCTGTAATGAATTATTAACAGTTGCAATGACCTGTGTTTACACACAGCAGCCGGAAACAGCAGACTCAAAAATCGAATGTTCAGAGTTTCAGTTCAGTGGACATTTGGGGGCGGGAGTCCAGGAAAGGCACATTTCCCCTCCACTTCCTGATGGAATTACAGTGAATTGTACCACTGGGTTCAAAGCCTCGTGGTGAAAATAACTGTTCTCAGCAAAGAAGTCATCAGAAATTTTAACTAAGATTTCTACGAGTAAATAATTTGGGGAATCAGGACAAAAATACACGTAAGTGAAAATACACAGTGTGTGTGTTTTATTTAATATGCTATGATTATTCTGATGAAATCCATGAACACGTCCATGACACTGCCCATAACCTAACTGCAGGTCTCCCCATCTCTCCTTGCCTCTCACCACCCCCCCCGGACCCCCTGCCAGGACAGCATCCTCCGGTGCCCCCACTGAGTCAGGGTCCAGCCTGGGAGCCTAGGTCTCCGGGACCAAACCCCACGGAGCACGCAGCGGTGTACCGGCCTCAAGGCCCCCGTGTGTGCTCTGTTCCCCAAACACCGGAGACTCTGCCCTCCCTGGCATCCCTGCCTCCCCTCCAAGTCTCGTCCATCCCCGGGGCATTCTCCTGGGTCCTGTGAACAAATCTGAGGCTGGGCTCGCAACATCCCAGGGCTCCAAGTCTCCTAGACACACGCTCCCTTCCTCATTCGAAGCCTTTGCCATTTACAGCCCACGCTCTGAAAGCCACCCACCACCTGACGTGCCCCTCTGGTCACGGGGTGAAATATCCAAGTGGCACCTGCTTCAGGGCAGCTGCTCAGGTCTCACACTTCCGGCCTTGGGACCCCCTTTCACTCTTAAAAATTATTTACGCCGCAAGCAGCTCTTGTTTATGAAGTGGTACCTATGAATACCACCTGCATTAGAAATCAACACTGAGACATTAAAATAGGAAAAGACTTATCGATTCTTTAAAAACAGCAATAAGCCAACTATAGATTAATATATTTACATAATGCATGTGTTATCTATTTTTTAAAAAGCAAAGAAAATAATATCCGACTTCACAGAGAAGGTTTCCAGTGGAAATACAGGGCACCCCATTTGGGACGTGCGTAAATCCCCAAACGCCCGTGGTTTATCAGGCCCTTTTTCACGTCTGAGTCCGACAATCTTACTCAACGAAGACAGGCCAATTCTCACCTCAGCTCCTGCCCTCAGTGGGCTGAGAGTGCAGCTGCGGCTGAGACATGGGGCAGACCTGCCCCACAGATACGCATTTGGAAAAGGGGGCAAAATCTTAACAGCTTTTCAAATAACTGTAGACATTCTGCTCTGATATTACACCCAAACTCAACAAGTGACAACTTCTTAAAAATTGGCTAAAACGTGGAACCTGAAACCACCCCAATTAACCTTTTGTATTCTGTTACGTTAAAATCTGTTGGTCTATCTCATACTATGCCTAGATCCTTTATCCACGCCTGGTTCTGTAAAATAACGGATTAGCCGTTGGGAAAACACCAGTTTGAGTTACGGAGAGTGCTGGTGTGTTTCGTTATACCATGTAAAAAAAAAAATCGTTTTCTTCAAGTCACTCCCACGTTTGGAAGTCAGTGTTCCAAAATTCTGATCTCCTCTTCTAAGCTGGCGTCAACTCCTTGGCCCCCCACCCTGTCTGTGAAGGGAGGCGATCCCTTCATTTACCTTTGGGGAGAAGGCAGCAGGTACGGCCAAATGTCTAGTAACTGAATGAGCAAACTTCGTCGCTAGTCCTTTTAAGTCAAAATAGCGGTTCCCCAAAAAACGGCTAGTAAAGCCGGCCCCTCCACCAGCAGCCCCACAGGCGGGGTCTCCAGATGCTGTCCCGCCCCAGAGGACGAAGGTGTTTCCCACCCACCTCCCAGCTCAGCACGCAGAACACGTAACCGGTGGGTATGCAGGGTCAAGACGGAGTAAAGATAATCATGTCCACTGCTTCTCCGAGGACATTATTAAGTAACACTGCCCTTTGTGTTTGCTGCCAGTGCCCGAAGGTGAGGGGCACAGGGTGACCGGTCACTGCTTTGCTCTGCAGAAAGCCACCTCCACGGCTTCCGCACCATCAGGGCCGAGGCCCACGCAGCAAAGGGCAAACAACATGTTGGCACGAGTTCACTACTACCAAGAATAATTCTGGTCTCACGGCACTGACTGGTTGTAAGACTCTCTAGGGGTGTGTGGACCACATTTTAAGTACCATCGTTGGAATTTATTGGCTTGTGGTTGCCTCCTGGTTATTCTTCATAGTCTTTTCTAACACAGACTGTATTTACTTATTTTTAAAGAGAGGGAAAAAGAAGAAGAAAAAGGAGAAGGAGAGAAACACCCACCGGTTGCCTCTCGTACGCTCCCTGAGCAGGAACCGAAGTGTTGACCTTTCACTTTGCAAGAAGACACCCAACCAACTGAGCCACACTGGTCAGGGCTTAATAGTCACTTTTTTAAAAGTATGACTTTTTTCCAGGTGTTTTCAACATGGGAGAAAATCCCACCCCAGCCCTGCATTCTTCCATATCCCTGGCCTCCCACTGTCTCCCCGAATGGACCGAAACGAAACCCAGTACCTGCTTGCAGGCGTAGCTGCAGTACTTGCACTTGAACTTCTTCTCGTTTTTATGAGTTTTCTGGTGCTGAAGGAGGCTGTAGCGCTCGTGGAAGACGGCAGGACAGTAGCGACACTCCATCTCTGTGTCTCTGTAACTGTGCAGGTTGTGCAAATGGACACCTGAAACCGTCACAGACGTCACAGAACGTCACTTATGGTGGCCAGGGGGAGGTATTACTCTCTGAGGGCAGATCTCCCCCTGCCCTGTAGCCCAGGCTTTCTCGGTGTCAGCACTATTAGCCCGTGGGCCCCCCTGTGCGTTGCAACCGTTGCTCCTGACCACTAGATGTCACCAGCACACAGGGACAGCAGAAATACTATGAAACTGCACTGAAGCAATCCAGCCACCAGGTGGCAGCCCAGGACCTCTGAACAACAAAAAAGAAACACCCTTCCCAGACAAGTTCCTGAAGCCCCGCCTCCCAGAACCAGGCCCAGGGCTCTCCAGGTTTCCCCGCGGAAGGAAGTTCACCAACCCATATACTCACGCAGGTCGCTCTTCCTGGAGATGTTCGTGGCACAGTGGGGACACTGGTACTTGGGGATGTTGTTGTTGTGTTTCTGCTCGATGTGTATTTTCATGGTGCCTCTCTGGGTGAAGCGTGCCTGGCACAAGTGGCACTCGTAGGGCTTCTCCCCTGCGAGGGGATGACAAGAGTGGCCCTCTGCAGAGTGGCTCCCCCATCCCCTGCAGGCCCCGATCCTCCCCAAAGGACACCTGGAGCTGAGAGCTTGTCTTGTCCCCTGGGCTCCTTCTTACCCCTGTCTCCTACATTTACCCGCCAGGAGCACAGAATTCCCAGACAGCTGCCCAATTCCCATCCTCCGTTCAAAGGACAAGGGAGTCACGAAATGCCCTGTTTCCGCAGAGGAAAGTAAAGTGGGTGACGAAGCCAGCGCGCTCTGTCCGACATGGCCTCCACGGCCAAGGTGCAGGAAGGAGCTGGCGTTTGAAGCCTGAGCAACCTGCAGATGCCCACCCTCGATGGTGTGTCTTCCTCGTCACTATCGCGGGCGAGGTGACAGCACAGAGTTTACGTGGGCTCCCTGGATGCAAAATACACACCCAGGGGCAGAGCAGAACCCCCACGCCAGAAAGGCCTGCGGACACTCCCTCGGACCCTAGAACGTTCATCTGGCCCCCCGGGGAGGAAAGTTCATGAGCTCACACCTGAGAACGGGCCGCTGCTTCAGGGACAAAGGGGTCTTCTGCGTGAGGTGCAGTTACCTGAGTGCGTCCTCATGTGTCGTTTCAGCTTGTGGGTGTCCTTGCTGGCGTAGCTGCACAGCTGGCACTGGTAGGGACGCTCCCCGGTGTGCGACCGGATGTGACGTTTCAGCTTGCTTGCCTGGGCAGCAAAGGGAAGGGGGTGGTTGCCAGAGAAAGCTGAAACTCTTGGATCCAATCAGCCTCGTTAAAAAGAGATACAGATGTTTTAACTTCAGAACGTACTTCGAACCCCCCCAAAACACGACCAAGGCATTACTTTTTGTTTTCTGGGGTGAATGACTTTTTTCTTCTCATTTGATGTGGGTTTCAGACCCTTTGGGGATAACCAGTAGTTTCCGGAGACTCTGAGATTCGAGTTCGCGCTGCCCAGGGAAAAGGCAGTTCCGCTGCTCCGCGCCGCACGGGCTTTGATTTCCACGTCGAAGTCCCCACACCCTCAGTGCTGCCAAGTTCAGACCGCGCCACAAAGGTGCAGAGGCCAGAATGCCTTTGCTCGCGTAAATAAAACAAGAATCCTAAGACACTAGCTCTCTGATGGGCGGACACCCGTCCCAGGCCCTTCTCAGCTCCACACACTCATACTTTCTTTATAATAAATAACTTTTAAGTACAGGAACCTCTGTTCTAGTTTCATTAATTGCACGTCCCAGGTGACTAGCAAAAAGACAAACGGCACGTCACCTCCCATTTCATCACCCTTTGCCTGACTGTGCTGTTACCGTGTTCTGTGTTTCAGCCCAAAAGCCGTGCCCACCTCTGGCAGAATGGGGGTGGGGGGAGCAGGTGTGAGTGCCGTCGCCCGGCCTGTGATCTCAGGAAGGCTGCACTCGGTCCGACTCCCCAGGATGCGACAAGCGCAGGTGAACCCCAAGAACACTCAAGAGCAAAGAGACTCAGATCCAAACCAAACAGTTAAGATTTTTAGATGAAAAGTGGGTGTCTTCACATATATTGGAAAGCGAAACAAAAAGAATTTCAGGTCCGACTGGCCTGGCTCAGTTGGTTGTACGCCGGCCTGCAGAGCGAAGGGTCGCCGGTTTGGTTCCCGCTGTCAGGGTGCACAACTACCTGGGTTGTGGGCTGGCCCCTGGTTGGGGCATGTGTGAGAAGCAACCAAATGGTGTTTCTCTCCCACAGCGATGCTTCTCTCTCTCTCTTTCTCCCTCCCTTTCCCTCTCACCCAAAATATATGAAGTTTAAAAAAGAATTAAAAAAATTACAGCATGAAAGAGTTGATGTACTGTGAATGATTGAAGGTGGTGGCTGTGTGTGCCAAGCTTCTCTGGGTGGCTTTGCAAGGGAGGGCGAAGGGGGTAGGAGAGCCCCAAGCCCTCGAGGCCGGTGTGATATGCAACATGCCCCGATGCATTCCAGCTGGCGCCTGTGTAAGGAAAAGGCGTCCGGGTGGGGGAATTTAGGCCACCCTGCTTAGAGCAGGCCAGTCCGGCGAGACTTGGAAACTGCAGAACGTGAGGTCACGTGTGCCTGGGCCGGCCGATCTGCAGGCCGTGTGCAGCCTGGGACCCCACAGGAGGGTCTCCGTGGACACTGGATGTTTGTGCTCACAACCAACAAGACACCAAGCAAAAGTCCACCTCCAGCTGGGTCGTCCCAGACGGCTTCGCCCCTCGAAACTGTCATTTTGGGTTTCCAGACTAGAGTCATAACCTTTAACTCCATTGAGAAAGAACTTTTCAAAATAGTCACAACAGGAAAAAAAAAATTCCTGGAATCATCCTGAGCCCATGGATGAAACTTCCTCGTTTCTGACCTGCGGTTGCATCACCACTCGGCTCCAGCGTTAGTCTTGCCCTTTAACTTAGTTCCCTTCCCCAGTGTGTTCCCTCCCCCCTGGGCTCAGACTCAGGCCTGGCGGCCTCCTGACACTGCGGGGGGAGCCCTTAACCGTTAACTGCCGAAAGCTGATGGTAGGAGCGATGGGGATGTCCGTCATTTCATCCAGAGAGCTAGACGGTATAAGGGCAATGGAGGGGTTGACAGGGCCAAGACGCATAAGTGAAGAGTGAAAACCCTGGTCTCTTCTGTAACAGGAACAGGCACGTGTAACCTTCAAGCAGGTCGCTCTGACCCAGAGCCACCGAGGTTGGCACAGAAGCGCCAGCACGCCGCCATCAGACCGGGCCTGGGGGTCTCGGCTGGAGCTGACCCATTCTGAGTCTGTGGGCTGAGTGCCATGTAAACTGCCAGGCCGCGCACTTTGATTCCCCGAGTCCCCGGAGCCAATTTCTCTGTAATCTGTACACTTTCATATATTGCATTCACTCACTGGTAATCGAAGCCAGAAGAAATCCGATTTTCCACTTTCAATTTAGAAAACCGAACGAGCATTATTTCCTGCGCGGATTTTGTATGAGTAATATCTTTAATAAAACCCATGTTGGGAGCGGTTCTCCTGTTGGTTTAAGCTAACATGACTTTTTACAGCCACTTCTTAATAAGATGCCACAAAGCTTTAAGCAGAAGAGCGCACTTACTTCCACGCTGGCGTATTTGCACAGGGAGCATTTGAACGGCTTCTCGTGAGTGTGTCTGTAACGCCTGTGCCGGACAAGCTCCCCGCTGGTGACAAACGCCATGTCACAGTCACCACACTTGTGGGGCCGGGTTCCTGCAAAACCACAGACGTTAGCCTTTCAGACTCGGTTTCCCCGCAAGTTTCCCTCGGGGATGCGTCACTTCTAACTGACCCTTGGTCTCAGAGGCTGGAACAGCGAAGACGAGGCTCTCAGAACTACACACGCCCCACGCGCAGGCGAGAGAGGGCTTGTGTCACGTTCCACGTGCTTCTTAACGGAAATGGAGGAAAACGAGACTAAAAGTCTCCAACAGCGTGGAATTTTAACGCGGGAACCGTCGCGTGGGACTTCCTAAAGCCCCCCACTCGCGCCCTTCAAGGGCGGCGCCCCTGTGGGCGGGCTCACCTGTGTGCGTGTTGATGTGGTTCCGCAGGAGAGTGACCGTGCGGAAGGCCTTCAGGCACAGGTGGCACGTGTGAGGCCTCTCGTTGGTGTGAATCTTCACGTGGCGGTTCAGACTCGAAATTCGGGGCGTTGAGAACAGGCAGGAGTCGCAGCGGAAGGTCTGTCTGACCCCTGCAGGACGGGGATGAGAGGGCTGACTCCCTTGAGAAAGTCTTTCGACGTTCCCATTCCACGTGGGGGGGGGGGTGACAAAAACAGGCTGGAATTGGACGGGGTAATGGTTGCACGAACTTGTGCTAATGTGTTCAATACCTGAAAACGAGCCGGGACTGGGAATTTGGGTGGGGTGGGAACAATCTCGTTTTAAATATACGAGAAACTACTACATAGCCAGGGAAGGCAAATACCTACTGTAACCAGAGGCAATACCCTGAATGAATGACTTTGACCGTGGACAGTGAGGGCCATGCGACTTTCAAAACCGAGCCCCTTCCCAGCCCCAGCCACCTGCTCCAGGAGGGAGGAGACAACCAAGTGTTGCCGGATGGGACTTTTGAAACATGAACTGGAAATTGAGATTTGGAGGGTGAACGCCTAACTTATACAAGAAAGAAAATACTTGAAAAGCCAAACAAATAATTTTGAGGGTCCAATTCATTCTGTGGGCTTCCAAGATTCAATATCAGTTCTACTATCGATTCAAGGTCCTTCCTCATCGGATCTGAGCACTCTCTCACAGGCCACGCCCCTCCTGCTGCCTGCACAGGTGATCCCCATGCTGAGTGGTTTCTGAGTCCTCTTTCCCAGCCTCACCTAAACTTCCTCACCGCCGAAGGTCCCTCTGGTGCTTTCTGGACGTCACTGCTCCAGGCCATGGAGCATCTGCTTTTGCTCCCTGTCCCCTACCCCAGGCCCCAGGGTGCAAACTAGGGAGCAGATAGGAGCCCCACATTCTGTATGTGTACACAGTGCTTTGTAGCAGCATTTCCCCTACACTTTAAAAACATTTACGTGCAAAGTGCAAAACGCTTGGGTCTGATGCACAACACAGAACATTAGTTTAAACTTTCTCCCATTGCCTGACATTCTGAAAGCCACTAAAAGTCAACTACTTCAAATGTCAATGGCTGTTCTGTTCCCGTGAAGAAAAACAGCCGCCCATCTCATGTCCAGTCCCTCACACACAACGAGCACCCTACCCTCGGTCTCTCGTTGAGTTTTTGGAGAGCCGGCTCTTCCAACAAGTGGTTGAACGGGCGCGGGTTGATCTTCTGTTTTCTCCACGTTCAAGTCTGAAACTGTCAGAATGATTTCGTTTCTTCTCTCATCTCCAGGCCTTGCTTCCACGAGAAAGAACTGCTTCTGTGTGTTGTCCGCAACTCCTTCAGCTGGCGGCTGGTCTTCCTCCTGACCTTCCCCAAGCTAATAAATACAAACAAGTGTCCAAACAAATAACATGCTCTCTGCCCCTATGATACCAAGGAACACATAATGAAAAGGTTAACATTAAGTAGCACAGAACACTGTCCATTGCAACCAAAATGCTTAAGTATAATTATTAAGCATCAAAGGTTGTTGGTGATAAAACAAAACAATTAAAAAAAACCAAAAACACAACACGCCTTGATAGTATTCTAATTAGTGAAACTTCTTAAACGCTTAAAAAAAAGAAACACGTAGTCCCCCAAGATTTTCCTGGGAATTATTTTACTGCGTTTAATTCTAAACTGCTTGTCCATACATAATACTGTCCAAAGAGCAATCTAAAACACTGCTTCTGTAAAATTCCAAGTTAGGGGTCCGTCTTTTTTTAAACCCAGCGGTACCTTAGTCCATGCCGGGCTTCCGGGCGGGCTCTCTGCGCTGGTACTGTCTTCCGTGGCCACGGCCACGCCGTCCTGCAGCACGTGAAACTGCATCATCTGCATTTCCTGCAGCGAGTACACCTTGTCCTGCATGCTGATGGCCACGCACTGGTGCAGGCTCTGCTGGGCCCCCTCTCTGACCCACAGCAGCGACGGCACCGCGCTGCCGGCCTGCTGCACCGTCACCTGCACCCCCTCTGGGTAAGGCGGCATCAGCCAGCCAACCTCCGGGAGTTCGGCGCTGTCGAAGGTGGCGTGCGCCGGCTGCAGGGTCAGCATGTGTCTCCCGCTGTCCTCCACGGTGGCCAGCGCCAACTCCTGCTCTCCTTCGGGGATCTTGGTCAGGAGGGTCCCACGGGTGCGCTCGGCCCCCACCTCCCCAGGGCTTGGGGGCTCCTGCGCTCTGCGCACTCCACCCTCCTCCTCCTGGGCTTTTACTGGTACCACCTCTTTGATTTTGGTGAATTGCTTGAGAGTGTCGAAGCCGGCGGTCCCGGCCATTTTGACTCGGCCTGTTTGAGAAAGGAGTTAAGTAGTCTGTGTCGGGCACAGTGAGATTGGGCCCTAGTGGGTTTTGGGGCTGACCAAGGCCTTGGAAGGCTTCACTCCTCATAGCGGTCAGGACAAAGTTGACTCGGCCTGGGCCCAGGAGTGGCTGAGCCTCAGCAGGATTTACGCTAAAGTAGGCATTTGTTCAGAACATTCTAGACTTCACAGACTGGGACTCGAGCAGACTTTCAGCAGATGCACCTTCTAGGATCAGCAAGGTGGCGCCCGTGCACGCTTTCCACCATTGCACAACCCCAGATCACGCACCATTTAAGCCATGCGGACTGCAGGCCATGCGGACTGTTGGGGACAGTGCGAGCCCGTGCGCACTGGCTCAGGGTGCCCCAGATGGACGCGCGCCCACTCCAGGATTGGGGCAACCGCACCCCCACTCTTAGCCTCTCCCCCAGCCTGGCCCCTCCACAACTTGCCTTCCGCCCTTCCCGCTGTCACCTGCCCACGCGGAGCAAAACTAGCAACACATGCTCCGCTGGGGGCCAGAGTCTGGCCCCGGGGGGATCTTTTACCCAGGAGGCGTGGCCTTGGTGCCGGCCCACCCTGTCCTGGTGGTCTCCACCTTGGACTGCCTGCAGCCGGCACGAGGATCAATGGAGGGGGCGCTGTGCGCAAGCGCAGAGCAGAAAATGGGGACGGCGTTCAAGGGGCGGAGCCAGGGCAGAGGGGCTCCGTACGAAGGTAGTGGTCGGAGGGACCTATGAAGATTGGGGGTGGGATGAGTGGATAAGGAGAAGTGGAAAGGGACCTGCAGGGGCGCTGAGAGACCTGGGGATGGGATCCAAAAGGACAGAAGAGGAGAGGGACCTGCAGGGGCGCTGGAGGACCTGGGAGGTGGGATCAACAAGGACGGAAGTGGAGGGGGACCTGTAGGGGGCACTGGGAGACCTGTGGGGGAGTGGATGTGAAGAGAAGTGGAGGGGGACCTGCAGGGGGTGCCGAGAGATCCGACAGGAAGAGATGAGGAGGGAAAGTGGAGGAGGACCTGCAAGGGCGCTCCCAGTGACTTGGTGGGGAATATGGACGGAGTGGTGGAATGAAGGGGAGGGAGCAAAAGAAGCTTGGAAATACGGGCTGGGGACAGGGCAGGTGGGTGGACGGGGCAGGAAGGCAGAGGAGGGGACCTGGAAGAGACCCTGGAGACCTGAGCAGCAGGCAGGTGCAAGCAGAGTGGAGGGCAGATAGGCAGGATCGCAGAACCGAAGTCAATGGAATAAAGGAAGTTGGGGGTAGAAAGAGCCCGCTGTGGAGGAGCTAGAAGAGGGGTGAGGATGTCCAGCCAAAAAAGGCAGAGAAGGGGTGGGGGAGAAGGAAACGGAGGGGCGGATGTCAGGAGGGGGCTGGAGGCCCAAGTCTTGAAGTCTTTCCCAGAACTTCAGACTCCATACAATTCTTTCCAAGTGCTTTCTTCAAGGCACCCAGGGGAGCTTAGGGCCGGGGAGAAACTTAAAAACTCCAGGGGGCCACGACCTTGTGAAAACACTGTGTGCCACCCAGCTGTTCACTGCAATGGGGGTGCACGTTTGTTGGGTGATTTGCACCTCAGTCTGTTCTTTTTCGTGGCGATGAACAATTCTGACGGTCCCCGGAAGCCATTCAGTCCACTCTCCAACTAGCTACTAAACGCATGCGAGTTTGGAACCAGTGATAGATTAGAACCGTTCATGGTGCACTGATCGAGTTAGAATTATTTTAAAAACACTTTCAAGTACAGTCGACATTCAGTATTATTTTATATTAGACTGAGAGGCGCAGTGTGGTGCACTGGCACTTTTTTAGGTACAGTTTACCTAAAACTGAGGTCCAGGAAACCATTTTGTTTTCTCTTTTTCATTATTTTCTCGAAATTTTAACAAAGCTTGAGTGGAATTTTCTTGTTTGCTGATTGTGAGTAAATATATTTGGAGGCTGGAAGGTGGGGAGGTGCGGGGAACCCAGCCCGCCTCGGTGCGAGCTTATCAGCCAATAGTTTTTCTCCCGTTAGTGGTCAGAGACCTGTCTATCTCCGTGAAAGGGCGTTCTGTCTGTCTGCTCAGCCATTCTCCATTCGAATTTTTTTCACGTTCTTGTGTACAGTATGTCCTCAAAATATATTGGTAATGTATTTTGATAGTACAAAGGATAGGACTGTATGCACTTTCGGAAGAAACTCATGTACAGCAGCAATGCAGTTATTAGGGAGCTGCTGAGCTTGCTGGTTTGGACGCCGTATCTGGGTTTTTATTACTGTCTGCGTGCTCTACGCAGAAGATAAATGTTCGAAGGTCATGGGAAAATTGTGTTGTAATAACTTCCTTTAAATCGCTTCAATGAGTTTCTCTGCTGGAGCAATCACCACTTATTTAGTGCCTTCCCGGGGCTAACGGAGGCAGACTTGGAGGGGAACGTGCAGGGGCTTAGAGAGGGGACAGGGAGAGGGGGCGGAGGGGTAAGCAGGCAGAGAGAGCCTTGAAGGGGGGAGAAGGTGACAGGGATGAAGGGACAGAAGGAGTGACAGGAGAGACAAACCAGCAGCTCCCTAAACTTTGCTCCTACAGTGGGAAGTTTTCTTTGCTTTTATTAGACATTCCTGGGGGTCACTGAGTGGAGTGGGGGCATCTTGGAACCCAGTGGGGAACCTCCCATTGAAGAGCCTGTCACTTTGGAGCCATTGAGGGGGTCCTCTTTCAAAAGACGGAGTTTAAAAGGGCAGTATTATAATCGCCTTCTCAACGTGAAGGAAATAGAAAGGCTAAGAAACTCGTCCAAGGGGTGGGAACTGTGATTCAGAACATCCCTATCTTAAGTACTGTGTAACTTGCTATTTATTGATTTCATTTTTGTTGCTATCATTTATTGACCCGTGGGGAGAACAAACTACCTATGACAAGGACATCCGTCCAAAGCCCTGGGACAGAGAGGGCCCCGCCCCCTCTCTGAGGATGGCTGTTGGAGTCCATTGCCCCTGTCTGTTCTTTTTTCACTGTCACCCCAGCACACGGGGCAGGGTGAACTCGACTTTTCTGTCCCCCAGTCTTACAGGAAGAAGTAGGTGTCAGGGTGGTTTCCTCTTGCTGCTCCACAGTGATGTTTACCAGAGTGACTGAACGACCTCTGACCTCTTCACTTTAAGAGACCTTCCCAGAACATCGTACATGAGTCAACAGTTTTTCATTCATTGGAAAGCATTTGTAATGAACTTGGATATCTCCACTGTTGGGAAATGGGGCGCTCCGAGGGTCTTTCCGAAAGGCCTTCTGGATTTCCAGCTTCGACATGGGTGTGTCCCGCCCAGAGAGGTACCTGGGCCCACTTTACGGTCGGGAGAATTTCACACATAACAGGGCGGGAGGCGGCCCAGGTGCCCGTGTCAGGACGGCCCAGGCGAGCCGGAAAGTGAGGTCCTGCCTTGTTGACTATCACGGCTGGGGAGCAGACGCCAAATTCTCTTCTGCGTGGGCGCTTGCTTCTGTCTGTGTTTGTTTATGATTCTCCGAAGCCTGGCGGGCACCTGGGACGTCACCTATTATTTGATCTGGTCTCCTGTGTTGAGTTTGGCTCCGATAAGTGTCGCAAAGGTAATGTGTACCCCAAATGGACATAAACAGCTGTTGTTTGGCCTCCGGTGTTTTCACTGTCACCTTGATTTCCAGCAATGGGTGGCAGAGGCATCCAGTGACCCTGTTGGGCAAGCGCGGTTGGGCCATTGCCCTTTGAACTTTGGCACAGCCACAGAGAGAATGTATTTTTCTTTAAAGAGCAGTTCAGCGCTGCTCATGGACTTGGCCACAGGGAAGGGGGGGAGTTGGGCACAGTTGCACAGGCCAGAACTCTTAAAATCGTGAGGAACTGTTGTGAGAAAAAGCAGGGCACCCGCATGGGGATTGGCTTCCTGTGGAAAAGCGAACCAAGTGTTCCAGAACTTTCTGGAACTTCACCTTTAGAACCTCTACCTTGTGTTGTTTATCTGTGAAGGCGCACCGGGTAAATAAATAGATTGACGTGTAATAAAAGCTGATTGCATTTAGTCTGATTACACAGAGTCTGAAAACAAGCATGTTGGGACAAAAGAATCTGGAAATGTGTGCTCTGACCCATTAATAGTAATTAAATTTGGGGACTGGGGGCTGCCTGGGGCCCCCAAATTATGTGAAGGACTCAGCACCATTCCTTTAAGTAGTAAGCATGGCTGGCGCATGTACTAGAAAGGGCGGTCTACTTTTTTGTTGTTGGAAAAAAATCTCGGAGGACCAGCAATCTAAAATGAATTCTGAGGGTGTGTGGACTGTGTTCCATTTGTCTCTGCACCCCAAGCTTCCAGCTGCCTGCTTCTCCCCCCAGGAGGCAGCAAACTGTGGTGGCAAAGGGAGTGCACAGCTTCCCGGCTGTGTGGCCTTCCACGGGTTACTCACCCTCCCTGAGCCTCTATTTCCTCCTCTGTAACAGGGGCCTGATCGTAGCACCTCCTGATTTTTATTATCATGAAGAATAAATGACATAATCCATGTCAAATGCTCAAAAATACCACATTGCTTGGGATGTAGCAGATGGAAAATAAATGATAGCTATTTTGTTATCATTCTCCCTCATTTATATAACTCCTGTTAATACTTATAATAAAGTTATTCAATGTCATCGGGACTCTGCCACTCTTCTGAACTTTACTTTTCAGATTGTTTCCTAGTTCTAAAATTAAATCTTCCTTTTAGAAAATGACATCTCTAAATCTTCTGGCAGAGAACAGCTAAAAAGGTATTATTTTACGGTTGTCTATTTCTCAAGTTTGGCATTAGAAAAGGGGCTGAATTTGATGGCATGGTTATGTCATACCTAATTAGATGCTAATTAGAGACTGATAATTTCACCCCAAAATCCTAGGAGAGGTGCTGCTCAGTACTGCTTAGCACTGAGAACAGTCCAGGGATGTCCTGCTTTCTTCCTTTTTAAAAAAGATTTTATTTATTTATTTTGAGAGAGAGGGGAAGGGAGGGAGAAAGAGGGAGAGAAGCATTCATGTGTGGTTGCCTCTCCCACGCCCCCTACTGGGGACCTGGCTGAAAGCCCGGCATGTGCCCTGACTGGGAATCGAACCAGCCACCCTTTGGTTCCCAGGCCAGCACTCAATCCGCTGAGCCACACCAGCCAGGGCATATATCCTTCTTTCTGCAGAGGCTGCTCCATTCTCATTCTGGTCAAGGTCAATGGTAACCCCATATTGATGGGTTCATGCTCAGTTCCCAGTGCTTAGCTTGTTTGAACTTCCAGGGACGCTGTTAGAGAGAGACGGAGGAGAGGAGTCAGAGAGAGGCAATGTTCTGTGCTGCACACCTGAAACCAATAATACTGACTGTCAATCGTCACTGAACAATAAAATTCAAAAAAGAAAAGAAAAGAGGTGACGTGATTATGGATGCAGAGGGAGAGAGATGAGAAGATGCTCCGCTGCTGGCTTTGAAGCTGGAGAAAGGGGCCGCAAGCAGAGGAAAGCAGGTGCCTCGAGGAGGTGGAAGAGGCAAAGGAGTGGAGTCCTCCCTGGAGCCTCCAGGAGGAGCGGAGCCCTGACAG